TTTCACAGCACATTCAGTTTCCTATAAATATCAGTTTATGTGTGGGAAATGCATGTTTTCTGTTGTTTATACTGTACATCTAGCCCTGGAGATACAGCATATCAATAAATCAGTTGTTTGTCAATACTGGACACTAATATTCATACTGTACAATCCATATATCAATGATACTTTGATAAAGAAAAAAAATTTTCATTTTGAATTATGTAATATATGTAGCATTCACTTATTTTTATGAGATTTTCCAAAATATTAAAAGGCAAAGTGAATAAATGACACGTGTGCAGCTCACTAACGTCCTGCACTGTCTGTATAAATCATTTTCTATGTAAATATAAATGACAAGAGAATTTTAATCTCTTTAATAAAATATGCATTTGAGGCCTGTGGCAAGAGAGCACTGTAAAATTTGAAGCAATCATAAAAGAGCTAGCGCCTTTGATGTTACGATGAAACAAATGTCTTGTTTGGCGGAAGCGCTCTATTTTCCTCTGTTTCTTTCTCTCTGTCACACACACATGCACACACTATGAATTTGTTTCATTAACATTTGAGGAAATGGAGAAGTCACGTGCTGCATCACAGTATGAACACAAATCCCACTAGATTTAAAAAAGGTACACCCTTTTATAATTAGACAATGCAGTCTGGATAGTATTGGAGGTTTGATAAAATGCCACTGTAGACGTTTGACTTGTCACAGCAGGACAAACACAGGTGCAACTAATGACATGAATTATGTGCCTCTGTTCCCTTCATGTGCTCCACTAAGCCTCCCAGTGAAGCAGCATACACCATGCAGGGCTCTGAACTGGAACACCTTCAGTAAATGGAATAATGTAATGGTATTAATGGTCTGATTAAAACCTTTGTCTTAGCTTCAGTTGTCTGTCAATTAGAGTCAAAAGGAACATTTACATCGTAAAAGTAACATAAATGTAAAAATATAAACTCAAGCTTTTTACATTTATAAATCTGGCAGGGTCTACAGAGTAAATTAAGATCAGCTCGGTTTTTTTTTTTGACTGTTTGCCTTACACAACACCTGCTGAGTTAATGAGAAGTAAGGTGATATTGCTGAGGAAATTATGCCACTCAGACATTGTTCACAGGCCAAATACGGGCCGCTTGGCTTGACTTTTCAGTACTGACACATTTTACCACAATGATAATCATTGTTAAGGTCCAAGTAAAACCTTAACTTTTCAGGATTCATTTGAAATAAATGTGGACTTTCTCAGTCACCACTCTAATGTATTTGTGATTGGTCAGTTAAGGTTAAATGAGGCCTATATCTTGTGTTGTGGGAAACAGTTTCCAATGGTAAAATCAGTGGCTTTATGTACACCACACAATTACATATGTTTGTTTGATATATAAATCTGTAATGCAGCTGTTGCCAGGGCTCACTCGTCCTCAGGGTTACCTGTTCATTCCAGGCTCTCTGTTAGTGGACAAGCAGTGAATGAAGTTGGTGTTGGTTTTTTTTAAAATCTGAAAATCACTGAAAACTTAATCAAAGGCAAAATAATTTGTTATTTATAACTTTATGACAGGAGCGAGATTACACGAGCAGAACTCTGAGCATGCCTTTTCAAAAAGTAATTCCCTTTCATAGTTATGCATGAATATATGTGCATACACATTTACACCAAATGAATCTCTTTGCTGTTTGTGTGGCTTTGTGTGTGCGTGTGTGTTTGCCGTGTGCTTAAGTGGCCTCAAAAACAATCTGTAAATAATACATTGGAGTAAACAATACACTGACAAGAGGCCACACAATCTGATACATTCATTGCTCATCAGTGTTAATTTGGTGCCTTACAATTCAGCCTTCTCAAGATTGTGATACCAGAATACAAAAACTAACAAGAAGCTGAAAAATCAATCAACATGCAGGCTTCTACTGACATGACTCGGAGTTCAATGAAAGCCACTAATTCATGCCATTATTTGTGCATCATTCATGTTTGCAGGCAGTTTGTCCAGCTTAGCCAGAGGAATACAAATGTGTGTTTGTTATGGGTGTACCGTATTTTGCTGATGATATGTGCTGACCAGTTTTCACTGGAATGAATAGACCCCATGTTTGAATACCGCTTGCATTGTCCCTCATTTGATGCATTCATGTTCCAGTTTTTCACTGAATATTGCTTTCTGTTGTCTGCATCTTCACCTCTACTCCAATCCCTCTTTTCTGCTGTTTACTGGAGACTTGTGTTGTGTATAATCAGACAGGCAAATGGGTTGTTTCGAGCGATTTAAACATTGTCGGTCTCTGTCTGGATGTCAATGTGCCTTAAACACACAACTGCTTTCTTGAATGGTCATTGATGTTACCTTCACTCCCTCTCATGTTCTCTCTCTTTACCTTCACAGAGCTTTTTTTCCATAATGAAAACCTCTATGGCTGCTGCCTAATTAGACTATCACTTACTTCAGGGAGATTAAAGCCATTCGAATTAGCCCTGAAAGACAAGAGACAAAAGCTTATGGATTCATGCCATTAAACTAAGGTACATGATCAATTAAGGAAATATGTATATCTTGTGTGTGTATGTACAGTATATACTTAGTGGCTCAGAGAAAACGGAAAGGAAAAGATAATGTCAAGCAACCAAACTTTAGATTTGTGATACATTTAATTAGTTTATTCTATGATGTACTGCACTTTCTATTTTATTTCCATTTTCCAAGAAACAGAAGCAGTTGTATATTAGTGACATAATAATTCACACATTTATTTAAGGGGTTACTCAGAGAGACAGAGATTTCCTCACTCACTTCCAAGAGTTATTCCATTATGTCTTGTGTAAGCAGGTGAAATGAAAGGCAGAGGAGTTGTTGATACAGATATGAAAAACAAACAAAGGATATAAGACATTCTCCCATTGGCTAAGCACAGCTTAGACAAATGTCTTGACATTTCCAAACGTCTTGATTCATATTCCTATTGAATATGAATCACTCTTCATTACCACAGAAACTCCACTGGGTAGCGTATCTACCAGGGCAATGCATCACTTTATGTGTGTGTGTTTCTCACTGCTCTTCCATCTCTGAGACTTTCCCCTTCAAAAAGGATGAAACAAAGCTGCTACACAGCCTCTCCAGTATAACTTGAAAAGTTAAACGACAGTTTTGGTCCAAGTCCTGAACGTAATCACACTTGTTGTTATTATCTGACAGTGTTTGCTTTCAAAGAAACTGATTTACATATCTACCCAAACACACACACGTCAAACACGTCACTCCTCGAATTGAACCAATCCTAACTCACCTACTGTATCTGATTCATGAAACCAAACCAAATGCAAATTACGTAGAATGATCAATCAGTTGGTTGCAGAGGTTTCCACTACACGGAGAGCTTTATTTTGTGCCCTCTAAAGAAAGATGAAAGGCTGTCATAAGAATAAAAATTTGGCAAGCAGTTATGTTATCTCTCAGCTGCAATGTGTCTCAAATTAAAAACGAATAAATTGGCAAGAGTTCTATTTCCTTTTCCAACCATGCTATATAAAGCCTCAGTTCAGAAAGAAATAGTTTGATAATAAACTTGTAAAAACATTATTAAGGTCTATGCACTCATGATAGAGGCTTAGGGCGCACTTATATTTGCATTGCTAAAATCCTCTTAGGTAGCCATCATCAATAGTCCATGCATTATGGGGAAAACACACGCACATACGCACACACACACACACACACACACACACACACACACACACACACACACACACACATCACACCACAGACTGTCAGAAAAGTTTTGCACCTGTGCCATCATCAGGTGTGTGCCGTAGGCGGAGACATCTTTGGTAATCCCTCTTTTTATAATGATAACAGACAGTATATCTGTGTGTCTGAAAAGCGAGGAACTCATTGATGGTCAAGTCAAAACATAAATATGATGCCTGAAACATGCTACTGTATCTGTGAACACAGGTGTCATATGCAAGTGTCTGTCAACTCAGTGTTAATGTTGCTCAGTGTTGTTATATCACAGTGTCACACATCGCAAAACAGCATGTGCAGAGGAAGGAAATATGTTGCAACCCACATACGTTGATATAATCTTACCAACGAAGTGAATGGAAAATCAGGGTCTTAGGCGTAACATCTCTTCTCTATTTGCTTTCCTTTATGTAACTGACAGCACTGCATATTAAACACTTACAGTAATTAATATATATATTATTCAATCAACAGGTCAATGAGTGAATCAGTAACAGAGTGATATTGTTCTGTTTGTGACTGTGTTGAGTGTCAGATGTTAAACCAATCCTAGAACATGGCAATGATGTCTCCCACAATTCAAAGTTGAATGTCAGTATTTAGTTGTTCTCCACGGTAACATGTTCAGACCTGAGAACAGGCAAATCTCACTCAGTGTGACATTTAAATGACTTCAGCCCGCAGAATAATGGAGATGACGGATGATAGATGTTTAAAGACAGATTACAGGATACCTCATTAACACCACATTTTTCTCAGCCAATGTGAGAGCACGAGCCTCAGAGCCGATCAGTAATTTGGGTAATTTTGCTCCGCGCTTCACCCTTTACTTTAATGACAATAATTATCTGTGGAAAACATCTGTAGGATGTGTTGCCCCCCCCCCCCCTCCTCCTTTGTCTGATCAATGTATTCTCCTCTCTTCTCTTTCTAAATCACCCCTGTGCCTCTTCCTCCTCCTCCTCCTCCCCCTCATGCTGCCATTTTACTTCTGAACACCCACTCCCCTCTGTATGCCACTAAATTAGTTTCCCTGTGGTGTTGTCCTCTCCTTCATATTCTACAAAACAAATTAACACCTACTTCTGTCTATTTCTATGAATTTTTTAGTATGAATGAAGTATACCTCAGAATTGCCATTGTATTTGATTCCAAAGCAATTTTCTTCTTTCTTAAGTCTTAGCACAGTATGGTGCTCCGCAATCACATTTGGAGTAAAGGGTGTTTAGGCAGTGCAGAAATTGGCTGAAGCTCTTACTCACCCCAGAGGTTTCTCCAGTCGACTGGCTGGTGATCCAACAATCTCCCCAAGAGTACAGAACGTCTGACCCAAAAAGTCCTGGAAGGAAGGAAGGAAGGAAGGAAGGAAGGAAGGAAGGAAGGAGGAAAGGTTGGTGTATGTGGAATAGAAAGACAAGAAATCAATGTTAGGGTATGATCAGGCTTAAGACCTAAACTCAGGAATATTCCTGTCATTCTTCTACCTCTGGAACCCATGCAAATGAGAAACTCAAGAATTTGTTTCTTCCAAAGAAGCTTGCTCACTCATGCTCCTTGAATTTGGCTTGTGCATCCATATGTTTAGCTGAAAGAAATGGTCGAATCTATTTTTGATGCAACATCTTTGGTTAAAAAAATAATAGTGATTGATTGATTGTAGTGGTGTCGCCATTTATATTATGCCTGCAGGCTACACAATCTGCAGCATAAAGACTTGATGGCTTGCTGTCAGCTGTGAGACAGAAACTGTGCTTTAATCTTCCTCAGAGCCACAATAACTGTGATATCATATCCAGTTTTGGTGTGAAATATGAAGCAAATTTGTTCAGCTTAATGCAAATGTTGCCATACCCGTGACAGTTATGTACTATAATGGTGTGCATGGTTTAAAGCAGTGCTTTCCAACTGGTCCAGCCTCAGGATCCACATGTTCCCTGGGGCATCAGGTCACGGGCCGCATGTCCGCCAACTTAAAGCTGGAGTTTCCCCCTAAAAGTCGATGTTTTCATTAGTCAAGAGTCATCAGTCAAGGAGACCCAGACTCAACCTGCATTTTGTCAGTTGCATCACTGTACTTTTCATTGTCCACAGAGCTGAGCAGGAGCAACAGCAGGGCAGGCCGTCAGCTTCACAAACCAAGCGGGTCTCAAAATTGCCTCAATCCCAGAGCTGACTCTGAAAATCCTGATTCAGGGTCAGTCCTACTTTACACCCATTCAGTTTATTTTCATCCATCGATTTTATCCATGCTATCCTTAAATTTTATTTCACAAAATTAAAGCCAAAATAACTTAACTACAACTAGCATTTAAGGCTCCATTTAAAAAAAAGTAGTAAGAAGGTGCAATTAGGATGGAAAGCCAACATTTCAAAAAATAATAAAGCAATGCAATAGCGATTACAACTAATTGAGGCTTATTCAGGCTACTAAAACTATATCTATGGCATAACATGCAGAACTAAGCCTTAACCCCAACCATGATGGTATGAACTAGGGGAAACACAATTTTATTAAAGGGAAACACTATTTGGTGGGCGAGCAAAGTTCGACACAAGACCAGCATCAACAGGCTACCTGCACTGTAAAGCGTCATGTTGTAGTGCCTCTATCCACAAGGAAGCACAAAATGGTATCCAAAGTAAAAGCGCTGTTCCAGGGGTATTTCAAAATAAAATTTTCTTTCTTTCTTATTTTCTTTTCTTTCTTTCTTTCTTTCTTTCTTTCTTTCTTTCTTTTGGACAGAGTTAACTAAAATAATCTGGACCCACTAGGAATGGATCCAAAGCCCACTTTTGTACCGCAACCCACCTGTTGGGAACCACTGCTTTGAGTTGTGGAGGATGAGAGACACACATGAGAAGATGGAAGATTCAAAGCACCAAGAACAATGACATGATTCACAACTGTGTGGGGCATTAAAGTAGACACTTTTTAGAGAGAGACATAGTTTAGCATCCAGCATTGATCTGGTATGTTAGACTTTGATGATTTTTGACAGGACAGGCAAAAAAATATTTTAGTGAGTCCCCTTTGAACTAATCACAGTGTGGATGTGGGACAGTCCAAACCAAATCCTTAACTTTAGCCTTGGCAGACAGCACGCACTAAATAATTCAACATCAGGCTATAGTGTGTTTCATTTCAGTGAGTCTCTAGTCCGTTATGCCCACTAATTCCACTCATTGTTTCAAGGAAGAGCCTGGAAAATCTCAGCATCTTCATCATGTTACAAGTACATGCGACAAAAACTGCTGAAAGACCAAATTTTCCTCTCATATTGTGGCTGTTGTGGAGCCCTTTGAGACAACAGTGATGGTTTAGAGCTGCACAGATAGCTTGGCCTGGCTCTCAGTCGTTTCATTCTGATCAGTGACACCATCCTTCCTCCTGAGAGAAGGATCGTTAATGTGAGAGACAGCAGCCATGCAGTGTCAGTAAGTGAGAGAGATGCTGGGACCTACGTTGAGTTCTGCAGGCTTCCAGAAAGGTTGAGCAGCAGCAGCAACAACAACAATAACGACAGAGCACATCATATACCAAGAAAACAACAATACACCAAAAATCTAGCACTCCTAGCACTGCTCAAGATGAAAAAAGTGAGAGTGGGAAGACAACGCATGCTGGACCAGAAAGTGGAACCTAAGCACACAGATGGAATTAAAGCAGATGATGAAAAAATGCAAACCCAGGTTGTCCAAATACCTCACATAATCATCAAAACTGATTATTTTGATGACAAACCTTAGTCAATGCTTTCTGTCTCCATAGTTTCCAGTTTTATGGATAAAAAAAATGTATCTTTTATTAGTGAAACAAAATAACCACGTACAATGTAATCTAATACATTGCTTAAGATGGAAACTAATGGCTAAAAGCATTGTTTTTCTACATGATTAACTGTACAGCAGGTTCTTGCACAATGCCTATCACTGCAGTTCCACTATTACAACAAATAAAAAAAATTAAAAAAGACTCAATCAAAGATAAATGGAAATAGAAATTGCATTTATAGCACGATTGCAACATAGATAACCCCTGTTAGAGTCAAAAAACGAAAAGAAAAAATGTATTTGGACATTTCTATGATCAGGCAATGAAAAGGGGTTTGCTTTATTTCATCAAGGAAAACCCCATGTAGCTTGCAACAACCAATTAAAACATACAGAAACAAAAAAAACATAAACATTGCCACCATTAGACCACTGATGAAAACGGTTTGGCCAATCTCAAGTCATGTCAAAGACCATATTCCATCAAGCAATAGCCTATTTGATTTTTTTTTTTCATTTTCAAAGACATTTAATCCAATTAATCTGATTTTGCTTAAGACTGGCCTCCATTTATCTGTGGTTCAGGGTTAAAATAAGCTCGTGCACTCACATGTTTGGACAGGTCTGGACTTTTGGAGTCCACATCATACCTGAAAGGAAAGAAAGCAAAAACAGCAAAGCCATTTTACTTCAGAAACACCAGAGGAAACTCTTATCTGAGTAAAGACATTTTGATTGATACGCTCTTAAAGGAGAAATTTAAAAACAACCCTGGTGATTTGTCATCAGCAGGAGGAGAAAGGATATACTCCCAGTACACTACACTTTCTCATGTTGTCTTTTCAGCTGTTTTTGTGTGTTTGTAGGTTTAAGGACGCTCTGTGACACAAACACCTGGGGTATGGAAAAGGAGTAGGGTATGAATTGAAAGGAATCAGAGCAGAGAAACATAAGATAGATAACAGATAACATAAGAGATAAAAGAATAAAAGAAAGTAAAAGATTTATGATTATATTTGCACGACCTGAATTTCAACTGACAATATAATAAGAGTGGATGTTGTGAAAGATAAAAGAGATAAAATTCAAAATGAGCCAAGAGGACAGGATCTTAGTATCTTTTCAGATGTTACTATCTTTGAGGCAGAGTGCATGGGTAATGGGTTCAACAACCTTTTCTCCTCTTCCATAATAATGAGTGCTGGACCTGGTCTGATTTGCATGTGAATATAAAGAAATGAAAGTGAGGGAAATGGAGAAATGTGATGTACCAAGATTAAACATCTGATGAAACGACAGATCTTGTTCGCCTAGAGATCAATCAGGCACAAATTAGACAGAAATGGAGCAAAATAAAAGTAAAAGCAGTAAATATTACAGGCTGCACAAACTACAGTGTTGTGTTTCCCCACTTATTGATTGAAAAGTATGATCAAATGATCAAAAATCTTTTCATATTATTTGATGGTATAGCTGCAGAGGAATTTTGCTGAGAGAGGTTTGAGGAAATGTTTGTTTGTCAAATGGAAATTAACTGCTTCCATGAGAGCGCTGAACAAAATACAGTGCTGAGGCTGTATTCTTTGCATGTCCCGCTTGTTAGAAGCTGGCAGCTCACCCTTCAAGCTAGCCAATATAATGCAGCCCATATGGAAGAATGATAATGTTAACATAAGAGATGCAGTTGGACTGAGAAATCATCAATGAGAGACAGAAAAGGAGAGGGAACTGCTTGATTTAAGCTGTGACTGGTTTGAATGAATATGAAGATCACTGCTATCTCACAAAACTAATCGGGAGGCCCCATCAGGCATGGAGGGGCCAATCGGGACCCAGTTGGCCGAGCTGGTGGTTGAGCTGCAAGGGCCAATGACAGAGTCCGTAAACACAATCATTGTATGAATACATCATGTGAGCTGTGGCATTGGGTTTATTTTTTTTAAATAAAGTCTTGACGTTTATAACTTTTATTCAACATTAATTTCACATGGCCGCTTTTAGCAGTAGGCTACTGGGCCGGTGGCTCAATGTGAAAAATAATAATAGAGAGAGAGAGAGAGAGAGAGAGAGAGGGAGAGGGAGAGAGCTCGATAGTGCTGTGTGGTAGTGATCAGCCCAGTGGAGCAGACTGTCCTCTCCCTCATGTCTGCCTCCCAGCAAACTACATTCAGTTCGGTCCCGTGGCTCCATTTACCTGCTCAGTGCTTATGTGTGTGTCTTTATCATTGTTTAAACACTGAGGCAGCAGTGGACTATCTGTTACTCGCTTTACATGAATAATTAAGTTAAAAAAAACTGTGGCTGAAAAGCTCAGAGAAAAGAAGATAAATCTGGAAAAATCCAAATGTTTCAAATAGTTCCGTAGTAATTGTGCAGACAACACAGGAGGAGCAGAGTGCGTTCAGGACCACAGCTCGTGGTGAGTCATGTTTTACAGAATAAATGGTAGGCAGAAGACAACAGACATAGCCTGAGTTTATTTGGCAGGATAATGTTGTATAGCTACGTTTTCCACTCTTGTTTCATCAGTAATATTAATACACTAATCAAAGTCTGATTATCTCACATCTACAGCATTTTATTATAAAAAAGATCCAATGAAGGGAGAAAAACTACTGAAATTAAGATTGAAAGAACTATAGTTTAATGTGCCGCTTGTCCTATTTCGTGTATTGTTCTACAAATCATCATAATAATTGGAGAGCCAGTCCAAATAAAAAGTCCAGATTTTTATCCCCACGCCATCTTTATGCCCAAACAGCCGTCCTCAGGTACTTTTGCTACATCTGTCAAGGTTTTCATTCTCACACGGCACTTGAATTTTGTACGTTTTTGCAATAATTCAGAAGTAAACAAAAGTAGGCTCTCCATCTCTAGCTGACGACTGGGGGTTTTGTTGGCTGACGTACATAGCATAATCTAACGTCAATGCTAGAGCTAAAAGTTTGTGATAGGGTGACAACTCTGCTGACTTTTGTCAATATCATTGTACATGTATTGCAGGGTAAAACTATTAGTTATTATAATAAAATATTATATATAAAATTGCTGTTGAAATGTTATTCATTTCATTGTGATAACGTATACTTGGACAAGCAACACAGAGATTAAATTTATGCTTTAATGTTTGTATTTTCAAACAGTGTTTTTGTATTTTTACAAAGGAAAATAATTGCTGAGTTGCGGTAATTGCTGTACGGCGGCAGGGTTTAGTGCAGGGTCAGTTTCTTCAGACTGAGCTAACTAATGGCAAGGCTCAATCAGCACAGAACAGAGGGAGAGGACCACGCATTATAGGGAAGGAGGACAGAGGGCAGGGAGAAGATACAGTGATGGTACAACTTCAAAGGAAATCACTCACAAGTCGAAGCGAAGGTTCTGCTTCTCCTCAAAAAAGTAGTCCAAGATGTACTTTCTAACAAAGTCCGGGTTTAAGGTGTTGTCTATCACCTCCGTTCTGCCAAACTATAGAAGGAGAAAGACAGACCCAGGTCAGGAGAGAAGGGATGATTAAAGGAAAAGCAAGACAACAAAACATTTTGAAAAACAAACACAGTTAATAATTGTCTGCATGCACATTTTCTCCCTTTTCTTCTCTCTCTTATTAACACATAAGTTGACAGAGGGCTGATTAATAGAGGTGCTTTCACGAGCTGCTGCCGTGCAGAGGAAGCTATGGGTGTGTTTCCTGGTTCCTTGATCCTCACTCCTCACATTAATTACAGCAGGAAAACACACTGATCAACCCCACAGAGGGAAGGGACGAGGGAAATGCGTAGAGAGTAAGAGAGAGACTAAGAGAAACAACATGAGCTGAATTAGAGAGAAAAAGAGGGTAAGAAAAGGGGGGCAAAAGTGGAGTGGAGGGTTTAGACAGAAAAGGATGGGCGAGAGTGGGAGTGGGAAAAGAGTGGGAAGGGAGAAGAAGAGAAAGGCAGTGATTAAAGCCTCCTAATTAGCGGGATTCTCACTCCCAAAGTGCCAAATGCAGGGAAATATGCCAGAGAAAAGGCTGACAAAGGCCCAGCAACAACACATGCATACAGTATACTGTACAAAAAGCTGATTTGTTTAAAACAGGAAATACGGTATATACATTACATAAATTATTTACAGCCACCAGGAATTACTCTTACTTAATCAAATACTCCATCAAGAGTGAAGATTTTATTCCTATGCACTTTTTGGTGATATGGTGAGTTATATTTAACACTGATTTGGCACAAGAACAAATAAAATACCATCAGATGACAGCAGTTGGTGAATTGAAGGAGGATGTCAAAATGTGTGAATTGTAATATGCCACAATGTATGCTATTATTGTTGAGCATTTACTCAAGGATTTCAGATACATCAAGCACGCCCATTTCACTCAGCGATTGGCCATGTGTGTGGAGGTGAGAAAGTACACCGGTTTTAATCTTCTCTCTCAAGCTCTGCATTTTTCCAGTCTTTGCAAAATTACTGCTGTCACTTTTTGTGTATACAAAAACTATTGAGTCTGTCTAAAATGCCTTTGAAGAATTGTTGTGGTAAAGTTTCCATTTGAATTTTTATTGCATCTCTCCCCTCTGTGTCATAGCAGGTTTTTTCACACCACCGTCAAGTGTGGCTGTTCAGGGCAGCTATAAACTCTTGTGCCTTCCAACGTGGTCGGACAACACACAAACCTCCACCTCTCCTCGTATTTGTTCTCTGCTAACGTCTCAGGATTTTGTGTGCCTTTTTACCTCTGCCAAGGAGTTTATGTATTCACCATGTGTCTGTGTATTTGACAGCAGGATTACGCAAAAAGTACTGAAGCGATTTTCACTTAACTTAGTGGAGAGACGAGGCATGGGGCAGGGAAGAGCCCATTAAAATTTTGGGGCAGATCCGGATCATTTATTGTGAATTAGAGTTTTTTCTCTGAAGTCTGGTGTATGTTGTTTGACATCAGCCTTGGCAGAGGGCTGTTCTTTCTTTGTGCTCCTCTATTTGTAAAAAGGACTTAAATGTTATTGTAGCCAAGGCCAGATCAAGCTGTTAATGGACCTTTGGGAAGAAAAAGTTGCTTGGCCCGTTCACCACCCCACTACTTCCATGTTCCTATAAGTACAATGCACATAGAGGTGCAGAGACCAACAAGTAGTTCTAGGCTGGAGTGCTATCTGGCTTAAATGTGTACTCCAGAAATTTGTTATTGTAGGCTACTTCATTAAGTTGGGGAACTCACAAGAGACAGATAAATAAAAGAGGATGGTAAAAACTGATGCAACAGAGATATCCTGACTTCTACTTCCTAGAAAGGATCAACACTGAAAACACTGGACCCTACATTTCCCATAATTCTAGTCAGTAAAATCCTTGACATGGCCTTCCCTGACTGATATATGCCAACATCTTTTAAACGTAACATACAAACCTCGTCTAGTAGAAATTATGTTTATATAAAATTTAAATGCACCAGTGAACATGTTTGTAGGAAAAGTAGCTGTGACCGTATCACGATTTCTATTCATGAAAAGATATTTTGTTACTTTATGTATTTGGCAAGTTGCAAATTACGTTGATACTGAATGTATCAGTAAAATATCTAATCTTGCAGTACAATATCCCCTTGTAGTGAATACAGCATTATTAAAGTTTTTATGGCCGGTGGTCTGGTTTAACACAGAGAGAAGTTCCCAGTGACTTCAGACATGTTTATTTACATTTTACTAAAACCATCATCTTTCTTTGATTTGAACAAGTTTTGTGGCTTAAACCACTGACAGGACTGTGGATATGAATCCCAGTCTCTGGTGTGATAGACAGCATCTTTATTTCAAAAAATACATAATCCAGCCAACAATTACATTTCCTAAAAAAACATATTTCCATATATTTTTCATGTTTTTCAACATAATTTCTAGGAGACAGGGTTGAACATTCCCAGTTTGCGATGCAGAGTTCCTGGTATAAAGAGGTAGTGTCGCTTATTTTGGTTATTTTGGTTGACTTGCAATAAGCTCTTCCAGAGCCACAGAAGACATTCTAAAACTGTTTTCACAGCAGTGCTAACCATGACTACTCAGCCTCCATGTGTAAAATCACTCGAGTGGCCCTTTAAAGTTTTCTTTGAAAGGCAATCATATTAAACACAGCTTTATTTAGAATGAATTGTTTTCATTCTAAATTAATCAACAAAATTATGAGCCATCTGAGCACATTATAAACTAAAATAATGATGGCTTGAAATTAGATTTTGACACCAGGCTGCCTGACTGTACATACAACTAATTGACACAGATTGAACCTGAATGAATGAATTCATATTTATCTTAATCCCCGATTAATTTTGTTTCAACTGCTGGGGTGATGATTCAATTCACACACGGACTGGAATCAGAGTTATATTGTATTGAAGTTGCCTCCAGTCGGCGATAAAGATAAAAACCTCAAATAATGCACAACTGTGGTTGAGCCAAACATGCTCTGTTTTATTGGAAAGCTGCCAAACTGTACAACTTCAATCAATGTTAAGGAAGCTATTTGCAAGTAGGAGTCGATCTAGTTTTCCCATAATGTCAGGTATACTGTAGGTGGATGTGTGAGCAGACCTTGCCTTTTCAATCAATACAGTAAAAACAACAAATACAGTACACTGTGGGCAATTAGGACAAGTCAACCAATATAAAACCATACACCTTCTATTCTGTTACACAAAGCTGAGCACCTCTTTGAACTCTATGCTTTTTAAGGTTATATTTTTTCTCTATGTGAAGATCTAAATTTAACACCGGCAAGGGAGAAAAGTAAAGAAAAGGACACTGATGTTGAATCTGTGAGCCACCCGGACTTTTGAACAGACCCTGAGGTGTTGATGAAGCTGTGAGCACATGTTAGCAAAGAGACGGGTGACGGCAAAGATGAGCTCCATAATGTGATTTCCCTGCTGAGTGGAAGAGACAATACAGCGCTGCAGAGTTCATTAGATACTGCTGGGCTTCTGGAGCTGGCTAATGAGAATCTGGTATGAAGTCCCTGATCTGCACCTGCAACATGTACACACACACACAAACACACACACTACATATGGAAAAGTGTACTCTTTAGGCAAGCAACAAATACAACAGAGACCCGCAGTGTCAGATTTTGAAATGTGAACATGTGTCCTTAAAACACAGACACAGGAAAAATCACTTAGACACACACATACACTGTGAGTGACAGCATGATGTTAAATAAAAGCCCCAGCACAGGAGAAATGAGTCAAATCCTTCATTATCTTTGTGAGTTTCATTTTCCAAAGATTTCATTGTCTTCTTCCCCGGAGCAGACACGAACCACCACTGGGGATTTGTGTCATCTGGTGAATATGGATTTTTATTCTCTTTGTGCCATGTTGAGTAGATGGTAACATAGTGGCGATATAATGAGCTTGGTGGAGTCCTGTGTTCTCGCAGAGGGAGGTAAATGACGGTAGTGTGAATTGGTGTGAGCTATTTTTCTGTTTTGCCTGCAGTGAAAAGCATGAGGGTGTGTTTAAAAACAAGAGAGAAACACACGAGTACTGAACACCCCCCCCCCCCCCCGCCCCCCCGCCAAGGAATGACAGGAGGGTTAAGGGTAGGCTACTTTAGTTGTTGAGGGAGGAGAACAAGCAAAACAACCAGCTGAAAACCATTTCTTCCCTACACACATGACAAGTGTTGCATGGCTTTATGGGAAAATAAATCCCAAAATTTGTTAGCACTTAGATCCAGAGCTGAGATTGTGTAAGGACGGGACACGTGTACACATAATATATGGTGCACAGAAACACAGACACACACAAATTGGCACCGCCACATGCTGTCACAAAGAGCACTACAGTGTGTGGTATATCTGATGTCACAAGCAAATTGGAAGAAAGCGTAGTATATACATGATCACGAAATAAACAGCCTTTCATTGTTGTGTATGTGGTGTGGGTTTGCTTTTAACAACACATGTACAGTATGTAGTGGGCTAGTCAAGCTGCAGCACACTGAAAGTTGTAATTTGTTGGCTGACTCTTAGTTTGGCTGTGAGCTTCTGTTTGTGCTGGAATTAAATATGGAGCAGAAAATTATGAGGTTTATTTCAATCTCCCAGGCCCAGCACTGGGGAGTGGACACAGTCGGAACTGCAGGTCACATGACCCCCTGTGGCACATGCAAACAAAATGTTGAGTCGAAACACAATCATTGCAGAAAGAAGGGCTGTAAAATGATGAGTACATTTTTTTCTAAAACAATCCAAGATGAATCATTATGATCAGAATTCCAAATTTGATCCATGCCTCCATATGAATGAAACACACCATCAAGTTCTCTTATTGTCTGTAGTGTGTTTTCTGAATTTCCTGAACTAGAAAGTAGCAAGGCATCATCATATAAAGACTAAAGAAGTCTGTGAGGATCTAAGTGTTAGCAGTGTTTCCTGTACAGTAGGTCTTTCCAGAGGTCAGTTCATCAGGGAACTGGACATGATGACAACAAGTACATTGCTTTTGTCAGTCAGCTGTCAGCCCCTTCAAATGTACCTTTAAACTAGTCTAAATCCTCCGGAACCACATGTCACACCTTTTGTATTCAATGCATGTAGCAACAGACCATCCAGCAGCTATCTTAGCCTTGGTGAACCCTCCAACACTAGAGCAGAGGTGGCTCCTGAGTGTTAGCATACATGTGCCACATCAGCCAGCCAGGAATTCCACGACATTTGAAGACAACCTCAGAATTACCTGGAGTCACATTTCTCCTCTTTTGGTGGGGTAACCATCTACCATCACCTCTACCGTATCGAGGACCAGGCTGCCCACAGAGAAATCAAACTGATATCAAACTCCCAGGAAGGCAGCGTACAAGGCGACTCCCAAATGTCAAAATAATAGAGTGAATTTCAAATTGTAAAAGTAAACACATTACTGTACTGTGTACTGTGTGCAAATAACTAGTAACAAAGTCTATCTGTATCTTAAATCATGCTAATAATAATTTGCCCCACCTGACCCTCAAGATTACAGACAAGATTACAGAACTTTGTCAGATTCCTCAACAGGTTTCATTAATGCCTCTCTGTTTAATTTAAAAATAAAACAGTAAGGAGCTACTTAAACTTTAGACTTTTAGACTTTTAGACTTTTTGTTCTTGTGTGAGCTGGACTCTTTCACCTCCTCTGAGAGTTCAGTGTTGTGGATTTTTCCTCTAATTTTTTTTCTCCTGCTTTATTCTCTAATCTCCCAAGTTATGTTTGCAGCACTCAAAATAACACCTGAAACAGTTCTGTCACGCAGCCTTGTCCCTAGTAAACATTTCCAGGGACATGGTAAACATTGCTGTGGGTTATTTCCTCATGTCATAGAAACTGATCAACAAATAAAGTATTGTACTTAATGTTAATAGTCGAATTGTTCAGCTACCTGCTTAAGAGACTGGTTTTCTGAACTGCAGCCAAGTTACATAACGGCTTTCACACTTCAACAAACAAGTGTCAGGGAAAGACGCCTGTGGACCAGGAAAAATCCCTCCAATCATCCCAACCGTAAAATCACCCTAAGACCACTTTACTCCAGGGGAGACTGAACGTATGGAACAAAGAAGGCAAGAGCGCTCATGACTCAGATTTATGATCTCACATCTAATCGAGACCTTCACAGAGAGCACCAACTATATTAACATTACAGACATGATCTCTTCCACAATAAAAATTGCAGGAGATGGAAATCAACATAAAATGTGACCCAAGCTTGACCGTTGTGCCAGAGGGTGCTGTCAAGGAATGTTATGTAGAGGTCCCTGGTGAGTCACCTGTTTGGCTTTGCTTGGTCTGTCTGAAGTTTGGGAGTGTTCAGTCTCACTCACACAGCGTCACCTGGAGCTGCATCAACACCCACCCCTTCTTAATAATATGATTGTGGATGTGATGGTTTTAACTCCGCGAGGAGAGGACCGGTTCAAACATTTCTATTTTTAGACCAAAATCAGTGAACCTGACAGAATGAAGTATCATTTGGCTTGAAAGTAAAACTGAAATGCTCATTATATTAATTATGTTTTGTTTGCTTGATTGGATTAACAGCCTGTCTGACAACTGGTGGCTGTCAAAGTAGAAGAACAAAGTGCCTTTTGTAAGAAGCGCAAAGAAGAGTTTTATAATTGCAAGCTCTTTACATATGCATATGCCTTATACATTAAGCATACACACATATGCACACACATTTTCTCTCAAACACACACACTCATAGCAGAGTCCCCCGCAGTTTCTCAGCTACAGTTGAATGAAAGCCCACACAGCCATCTGTTATGAGTGGGTAAAAACACAAGCAGCAGATGAGGGTCATCTGACTATATAAATACATATGATTTACATTAAATCATTATCCATTGCACATCCACAGTGGACCAAGTCTGTAAGCTTGGATGTATTGACAATTTGCACAATGGGATGAATAATGATGTCAAACATAAGGGCTGGCACCAGAGGTGTCTATACTGTTATGGGAACTTGTACATAAGCATGCACCGAAATATCATATTAACTCTGTAACATACACAACTACACATTTACAAATAGATTCACATAAAAGAAAAACAAAAGTTCAGAGTTCCAATTACTCACGGATACAAAAACAGCCACAGGGTCACGAGCAATAGAAATATCAAGTAAGTTACAAACCATACAACACAAACCAGCAAATATCACGCTCGGGATGTTTATCATGGTCCTTCTCCATTCTCTGCTACTGAGAAATGTTGATCATCTTTTGGGGTCTTATGCATGTACACTTAATCACACAAGAGTGTTCCACATGTTCTCTTTTTGGGGGTTTACTTTCTCTTCAATTTGTTGTGTCCTAAACTCTTATTCCCACAATTATACTGTCCTATTTTATCTTTTGATTTATGTTTTATGTCGATGACTTTACCTTAAATGCTCTGAAAAGCACTTTGTAGCTCTGCATTGTAAAGCAGTGAGCCTGGTGATATATATTTTTGTAATTGACAACAAATCCCATTAAAAGACCAAAACTAACAATGTGTCAGTCCATGTCTCAGCACCTTCTGACTTTCCTACCCTTTCCATGGCCCTTAGTCCCAACCCAATTACTTCCTGCTAAAGACATAAATCCTTAAAAGGGGGTGGCAAATATATGGTTTAATTATTTTGTAATGCTTTACTGTAGGTTTAAGTAAACATTACTCAAACAGGAGGAAATGCAGTAGTGTGTTTGTTGGGAACTACTTTCTGTTGTGGATTAATACACATTAGCTGCTCTAGTGAGTATTTACAGTAGCAGGGAGGTGTGTGTGGGATTGACTCAAAATGAACTACAGTGCCCATGTTCATGGGACATGTCACCCAGTGTAATTAATGCACATCAGTCAGTTCTAAACTACACATATTGATTGTTGCCAATCTTATCATTTAAAAACAAAAGGATATCGTTATCATCTGCCACATTAGCGTTTGCAATGACGCTTTCAAATAAATGGCCATATTCCACACAACCTTCCATAACAAACACTTAGTTGAAGCTGGGACATTATTTCCGCTACTTCTCACCACTGGAGAGGACATTAGTGTAAAGAAACGGTACAGATTTCATCTCTAAGCCAGCTTGTTAGTGCCTCATTTAATTTATTCACTTGATATCATTTAATGCTTATTTTATCTACAGAAGAAAATGATTAATGGACAAACAGACAGAATGGTGAGAGGATTAACAGAGAAAATGGATGGTAATGCTGCATGGACTAAACCAAACAAGGCACAGTATGAGCTGCTTTAATGCCTCCCCAGTGTGCTGGTTAGTCTCCAAAATGTCAACATATTGATCATTACATTGTGAGGGCTTTTCTTTGTTGGTTGAAGTCTCCAATTAGAGAATACTTCCTGGCATTTTCAGACAGTTGATAGCCGAACAGCTTTAATGAAGTGTTCAAGCCAACTACTGCAGCTACTGCATGTTTGCAGTCAAAAATGTCTTAACTGGAGCCTCCTGTCCAATACACACACACACAGTTACAAAAAACACATGGTGAGCACAGCAAGAGCTTAATTGGACATAAGTCCTTTCTTCTTTTTATATGCATGTGCAAGTGTGTGTGTGTGTGTGTGTGTGTGTGTCTGTGTGTGTGTGTGTGTGTGTGTGTGTGTGTGTGTACTCACCTCTCTCCATTGTTTGGTTTCCACACCTTGTGTGTAGAGCACGCATACTGTGAAAAAGTACCAGATAAAGACAAAAATAGATGAAATATTTCAAAGGAAATAAAAAAAAAGAGCCAGAAAATGAGGAACAGAAAAGAGAAAAAAGAGAAGAACTATCAGGGAAATGCAGGCAGATTCAAAATGGGAAATCAATGGGAGGGTTTTAGCTCCAGTAAAGTGAACAAACAGCCACTGCACCCTGAGCAAAACAAGGATTTCCCAAATCACAGGGCAACATACTCACAAAAACATACAAAAACCACACTGAGAGGGAGAGAAGGAGAAAGGACTCTTCTATGCTTCTACGACATACTCACATGGATCTGACTTGGAGAATGTGTCTTTATCCAGCAGATTTCTGGAAAATAGAGATACAGAGAAATAATTGTTACTCATACTGGCAAATTGCTATCATACAGGTTCTAAAGGGATGACTTTCTAAACTAACTTTCCAACTCAGTCATTTCACTTTTTTTTTTTTTAAAGTTTTTGGGTTTTTTTTGGGGGGGGGGGTTGCCTTTACTTTGATAGGTGCAGTGAGAGAGAGACAGGAAAGTCAAGGAGAGAGAGAGGGAATGACAAGCAGTAAAGGAACGCAGGTCAAACTCGAACTCATGGCTGCTGTTGTTAGGACTAAGCGCATGTGGTACGTGCACTACTGGTGCCCAATCATTCAGTAGCCTATGTTTTGACTTTTGTGCATACATACATATGTTGTAGCTGTAGTTTAAAACACCACCATTAATTACAGAGCTTAAATCCTGCTCTCCATACTCATGAATATAATTGTTACATTCGAAACTGACCAAAGCTGTTCGGCGTAAACAGGCTTTGGTTTCACTTTACCTGGTTTGTTTGTTTGTTTGTTTGTTTGTTTGTTTCATTTGCAGAATTCAACTTTTTGGTAGCTTCTGGTAACTCTCTGCAATGTTTTTGTTGTGTTACATTTCTTCCTCCGATGTCAACCTCTGACTGTAGATTCACATGAAACAATGCAAAAGTTGGATCTCTCCCTTTCAGAATTTTCTCCACCACACTTTGCATCACAGGCTACCATGACACCTTGCAAACAGCTCAAGGAAATTAAAAAAAGAGGAAAAACACACAGTAGTAGATGGCGATGCAATTTTAAATTAAATGTGATCTAACATTCAACAAAAGAGGAAGAAAAACGATGGCCCTCCACACACTCAACATCAATCTTCAATAGTGGTTTTGCTCTGCAGTCAGCCTCTGATCCAAAAACCACTTAGTGTTAGGGAAATATCATGGTTTTGTTTGTGGAGCTTTGTTGGCAAGGTTACAGTTATAAACACATGGTAAGTTTAGGGAATGATTGTGGTCAAAACGTTGGCGGTTGGAAATTGCACAGTAGTCATGTAGTCATGTCATCAAAAATGATGTCAGCATGTTAAATGTATTTTGAATTTTTCATTATTAAAAGGAAGAAAAAGGGTTTGGGGTAAATATTACAGTTGCTCTCTCCTCCTCGTCTTTGTCTCAGCTGGATGGAGGAACATGTCTGTGTTTGATTGACAGCAGCTGCCAGTGAAACGGCATTACACAGAGGGTGCATACTCAGCCAGGTTTGGCAAAAAATTTTAAAATGATGTTGTGGTTCGGATATTACTCTCTGTCTCGGGTCGGGTTTGGACAGAAATATGTGGCCTGACCGCACTCTATTACACCGTAGAGAACAAGAGACAAAGTAAAGAAACTTGCCTGTAAACAGTGTATTGTTAGTGTTGAAGAGTTAAGACCAAGCAGCAACCTCCGGGGCTGAAAAATGAAGCCCACACAGAAGTGTCAAAAATTGCAGTTCCTCGAATGGCCACTTGAGGCTGGCTTGAAAAGCAAGTCAAACCCAACCCCAAACCCAACTTTGCAGCAGAAATAAACATGTTTACAGCCTGGTACAAAAAACAGGTTTTGGTCTCTATAGCTAATTTCTCCCTTCATGACAACTGTACTGGGGTGAATTTTTATATGACTCACTAATTTAAATTATATTAAGGCTTAAAGTTCTGCATAATTGAAGGCGTGCTGCTTTGAGTGACAGATGGGTGAATCTATTCTTGCCACAAACCAGCATTCACCTCAGCCTTGGCTCCACAAACACCACATCTCTTTGCCTATTTTCCGATTAGCCGGGAGTTAGGTGGAGTCAGGCACTGCCAAGATGGCAACACTGGAGCAGCCCACTCTGAGCTTCAAACCGCCCTTCAGAAATCTATGGGTGACCTCACAGAGGCTGAGCTGAGCAGCCAATTAGCGATCTAGCCAGTAAAGGAAAACAGCAAACTAAAATACAGGAATATGACTATGCTGTTGATACACATGCAAAGGAAGTTCAAATCAATATACCCATTTGGTTGTGGTTTCAATCAATGACTATGTGCTACTTAGAGGTAGTTTTACTGCTTGGCTGGAGATAATAGCATAGATCAGACCACAGTCTCGAAGTGTCTAGGTGCACAATTCAATTTTTTTTTACATTTACAATATCTTGCATGTGCAAGTCTGATGTCTATAATGCGCAGATACAAACATTCATACATACATTCACAGATACAAACTCAGCTGGCTAGCAGGCACATCAGCGCAGAAAATTGTTGGGTTTGGTATCTCATACAATGGCAGCCTGATTACCAGCATGTCTGAATGCTTATCTCATTCTCTGCCCTCCAAACACTCACCATGCCTCCCTCTTTGCAATGGCATGCACTGTTAAATATTTTATATTTAAAGCAAGATAACTTTTGTGTAAGATTTTCTTTGCGCCATTGTGCTCTGTGAATTAAACTGTTTATTCAACTTATACAGATGTGGTGGTCTTTGGGGGCATGTATGTTTAAAAATATTTTGTTGCTTAAATTGTAATTAGTAGGCTACCATTAATTCCTTTATTAATTGATTTTATTAGCTAATGACAGTTACAAAAGCTATTGTCAGTAGTCATAATTTCAGTAGGTCACCTATTACAGATCACATTTTTAAAGGAATCCTCTGAGCCTGAAGTTTGATTAGTGCCTGCAGGACTGATTCTCATGAAAAGCTGGAGGCAGAAAATTATATACTTGTGAACTGCGAGGAGAAAGACAACCAAAAAGGTCATTGTCAATGGTCTCTTTCACATTGTGTTCTCCTCCACCTATCTGTCCCACTCCACCCTCCAGTCTCTGTCAGTCTGGGCAAAGTGCTCTTTTGTGAAATTATTTTCTATATGCTAATATGTGCTTCACACAAGAAAAGAATGACATGCACAGGAAAAGAACCATACGATCCATTAGTCTGTAACTAGTAAATCATTCACTGCTTGGAGGATATATCTGTAATCATTATTTTGTGGGGTGGATTTTTTTATTCATTCATTTTACATATGATTTATTGAAGATAAATTTCATTTGAAAATGTAGAGTCTATACTGCAATTCCAGCTTACAATCCATTATGTAAAATACAGGTAGACTTGTGGAATAAATTGATGTTTCTCTTTGTAAAATATAGTAATCAGGAGTTCAACAGCTGTCCTTCATGTTTTCTCAGTAGCTTCATATGTTTTTGATCTTTAATTTAGAGACATATTAGAAACCATATTAGAAACCATTAGGGACAAAACATACATACAAGACCTTTTATTGTGTGTGTTTTATATGCCTTACAAGCCCTGAGATACATCATTGAAATTCATTGTAAGACTTGTAGGCTCAGAGATGTTCAAGAGTCTTTTATCTGAGACACCGCGGAGAAGTTAATCGCTTTTTGACTTCTGACAGTGAATGTGCCAATGGGGGTCGTTCTGTGGCATTCTCGTGACTGTTTCTTTTGGAGTATAATATTTCTGTGTTATTTTCTTTTCATGTGAACTTGGATCAACCAGTCAGATTTCTTAATGTAACTGCACAAAGCACTGTTGAGAGATTTTACTGGTTTGTTAGATGTTAGATTGAGTTTGACTTTCTAACATGGCTTTCAACAGATTTCTTTGGAGCACAAAGTAGGATATTTAAGTGGACAACAAAACCCCAAAATCTTCTAAACATCTGCTAAACGTCAAATGTCCGACATCTTTCTGAAGTTGCATTGATGTCCGATGCCTGTTGGGAAAGTTATTGCAAATTTCCGTTGTAGCCTTCTGTGATCTGTGTTCAAACTGTTACCCTAACTATAACCGAAGCTTCATTTACTACACCGAACCCAACTGCTCGATCTAAAAGAGCGAATCTAGTCTAATTCAGTTGACAATGCAAATAAAGTCTGTATGAACCAGAGCCGGTGAAACAACCACGGATATATTACAAGAGCTGGATATAGTGTTCCAAGACACCATTTCAGTGAATGAATTGGGTGCTGAAAAAGATTTCCAGTCTTTCGGATTCTTGGCTCACCTGACATGTATTACATTCTTTCTGTCTGGCCGGCTGCCATCACACATGAAAACAGAGATTGACAAAGAACCCTCTTTTTTATGTTTTTTCTTTCCTCACTGTCTTCCACGCACTTTCCTACTCTATCTTTCTTCCTGAGCTTTACTGTACTATAATGCATTTTCTATGAATCTGTTTTTCTTAATCTCTCAATGTCCGCCTGTGCTTTGAGTGCCCATGTTACACCTCCATCATGGTTGCTTGACCTTTTCATAATGCCTGCCAGAGGCCAGTGTGTACCCAATACTATTACCCTTGTTGTTTTCTTTTGCTCGCTTGGTCACTACAGTGACATGAGAGCCCTCACTCAAAATGTCAACACTTGCTGGCCCCTCTGATTCTTGTTGCTGTTTCGTTATGCTTTCATTTTCCTCTGCAGTTTCTGTTGTTATAAATCTTCAGGTGTGTTCTTTCATCAGCCTCAATCTGTTTTGATCTTTTCTCTGCTCCTGTATTTCCTCCTCTCTCCCCTCCATAGCTTTCAAGAGCAAGGTGAGAAGACACTGATTAAAAGAAAAGAAAAGAAAAGAAAAGAAAATACATGAAATCCTGAAATTTTATGTTTTTCATCTTATGTTCAAATTTAAAAAGATGACAATAGCTAATGTTCTGTGATGGTTGAAAGTTTTGCAGCATTTTAAATATAAGCAGCAGAGTCCAGGAAAAAGTGCTTTTCATTATAGTTTGATCTAAATTGAAAAGAATAATGGAATTGGTACTACGCAAGCAAGATAATTCAATTAACAACACAGACTTGCACACTGAATTTGAAAGTCATTTCATTCTAATCAGAAAAATTGCACTGCTGCAACTCCAGCAGAAGAAAGGGAATTTGAAAAAAACATCTCACTATTCTCAGTTTATCATGCTTGAACGCAAAAATGTTCCAGGAAAGTATTGTTTTTAATAATTGGATGTTTTGTTGAGTTTAA